TTCCATACAGTGTGATTTCTGAGCCTGTGTCTAGCTTTATTTCTATGTCAATTTCTTTATTTTAGTTTAATTAGAAGGATTAAACTAACCTCTGCAACTAGGTTTCAAAGTACACAGCCATGGGCTCAGGTCTTTCTGTTTATTTCTGAACGTGGAGCTGCTAGCGTCATAACAGCTATATGTCTGGATTTGGGTCCTTTAGAGCCAAAAAGTGATCATGACACAGCTCTGGGACTGGACAGAATGCAAAACCTGGGGTTGGACAAGCGAGGCTTGAATCCCAGCTCCGCCACTTTCGAGCTGTGTGACTCTGGGTGAGCAACTGCGCCTCTCTGAGCCTGTTTTCTCATCTGTAAAACAGGACCAACACCTACCTCTAAGAGTTGTTAGGAAGTGTCATGAAGGGCTTGGCACAGTTCCTGATGCGCTCTGTTACTGACTCAGCTAACGTTCATTCTACTACGGTGTGCCAGACACTCGACTAGGAGCCGAGAATGCGGTGATGGAGAAGCTGGTAAAGCCTGCAGGGAGGTCAACACACACGTTCACATCTATCAAGTACAAACAAACGCCGGGTGGGTGAATATCTGGGGAGATACTTAAAGCGGGCACGAATCACGTCCTTGGTACCTTCAGCACACGTGTGGCTCGGGGCCCGGAGGGGGCCGAGCTGGGCAGCTCTCTCCAGGGCTCGCCGGCCCGCTCTGCTCTGCGGCCGCGGCTGCCCCGAGAGCTTATTTCACCAGCAGCCAAAGCAGCAGCAGCATGCCGAGCATCAGGGGCTGGTCCTCGGTGGCCCGCAGGCCCGCGCCCCGTTCCAACCAGAAATCGCAGTGCTTGACGGAGCAGAGCTCCCGGATCAGCCGCCAGAGGATCCGCTGGTGAAGCTTGTTGTCCTGTTTCTCCCGGGAAAACTCGGCCTGGTTGGCCGCCTGGGTGGCATTGATGCAGCTGGCGATAAACATCGCCTTGGTGACGTTGGCGTCGGAGCAGCCGTCGTACTGGATCCCATCCGGGAACTGCCAGTAGTTGGCCTCGTAGTACCTGTTGCCCTCGGCCCCGAAGTCGATGTCCAGCTTCTGGCCTTGCTTGATGAAGGCTCCGGGGCGGTTCTCGGGGGCGGCGACGTGGGCCTCGGTGATCTGGGAGGTGCTCGGCAAGGCCTTTCGGTTCCACTTGAACCTGTGCTTTATGCCCCGCGCCTTGACCACGGCAAGGTGGCTGAAGAGCAGCACGCAAACAATGGCCGGCCACCATCCGCCCGGGTGCTTCCTCATTGTGTCAGAATCTGCTGGAGAAACCGGCCGTTAGCTTCCCCTCTGGGCTTCCCCGGCTCCCCTGCAGCAGCCCTCCCCCTGGGAGATTATAATCCAAGGAATTGCACCCTTGTGCTATTTATATTTTCTCAAAAGCACAACTGTTTTCTCACGCTTGGGTTGTGCAGGGTTAACTCAAACACCAAAGTTGTTTTCTTTCTTTTTTTCCCCCCTGATGCCTGGGATTACATTCACTCAGGGCCCTGATCCTGGTGTTCCCAGACAGATAAGAAGTTGCAACTGGCAATTATAAAGCCTTTGACTAGGCATGGGAAAATACGCGCGTAATGACCTAATACACACAAGTTTGCTTTGGTGCTCCCTAGCCTGGCAAAGAAAGGCGACCCTGGGAGGGTACAGTGTTGGGGGCGCAGGCTGTGTCTTCAGGCTTCCTTTTTTATTCTGTGTCACCCTAACCTAGCACTGTCCTGGGCACATTCTGCCACCCATTGTGCCTCCCATTCTACGAAAGTCACTGGCTGCTGATTCTAAAGGACTTGACAGGAATGAGAGAGAGCAGAGGAGGGTGGGGAGGAGAGAGAAACACAGAAATGTAGGGAGCCCTGTGCAAGGGGTGTAGATGTGCTGCGTGCGTCCTTTCCCGATCTCTCCCCCACCTCTGGGGGACAGTGTGCATACCAGCTTCCTACTGCACACTTGCTGCGTGTCAGTTGTTGTGTTAAGCCCATCTCTGGGCCAGGTAGGGTGGCTCATGCCGGTGACCCTAGCACTCTGGGAGGCCGAGGCAGGTGTTGCTTGAGCTCAGGAGTTTGAGACCAGTCTGAGCAAGAGTGAGATCCTGTCTCTACTAAAAATAGAACAACTAGCCAGGCATTGTGGTGGGTACCTGTTGTCGCAGCTACTTAGGAGGCTGAGGCAAAAAGATCACTTGAGCCCAGGGGTCTGAGGTTGCTGTGAGCTATGACACCATGATACTCTACCCTGGGGCAACAAAGACTCTATCTAAAAAAAAAAAAAAGGCTCATTTCTGACATCCTCTGATTCTCACAAGGGGTAGGCACATCATTATCCCCATTTTATAAATGTTGACCTGGGATTCAGAGAAGTTAAGTAATTTGCCCAAGGCTGCACAGCAGGAGCTGGTGGATTTTTTTTTTTTTTGAGACAGAGCCTCAAGCTGTCCCCCTGGGTAGAGTGCCATGGCATTACAGCTCACAGCAACCTCCAACTCCTGGGCTCAAGTGAGTCTCCTGCCTCCGCCTCCCAAGTAGCTGGGACCACAGGCGCCCGCCACAACGCCCGGCTATTTTTTGGTTGCAGCCGTCATTGTTGTTTGGCGGGTCCGGGCTGGGGATTCGAACCCGCCACCTTAGGTGTACGTGGCTGGTGCCTTAGCCAGTTGAGCTATAGGCGCCGAGCCAGGAGCTGGTGGATTTGAATTCAGCTCTGACTGACACTGTGTTCCATGTGCCCACCACTCATGCCCCCACTGTCCCTTTGGGTTTCAGGATGGTGCTCTTACTTTGTGCTTTTGACTCATTAGGAAGGATAGCCCCTAAGCTGAACAAAGAGCAAAGAGCAGGGCCCTCAAGGAATTTTAGACACAATGAGTTGAAGGGGAGGGCAGGAGGGCTCCTGCAACTACAATAGCTGTTGGGGAAATCCCAAGGCCACTGTCAGGGTGTTCAGCCACCTGGGTCTTTGTTTGTGTGGATCCGGGCTACAGAGGAACTCTGGCAGCAGAGCTGGCATCTCCTGCGTGAAAATTTACTGTGAGCGCACACACGGAGTGCAGGAGATGGAAGAGGTGGGAGTTAGTGTATTTAGTCCCTAACATGACCTCCATCACCACCCTGCCACATCCCTAAAAGGGATTAATGTTCCTCTGTTAAAATCATCAACTCCAATGCAACACTGACTTTTATGTTTAAAACAATCACGGGCAAAATACAGCCTACGCAAACATGCAGTCACATCTGGAAGCTTGCAAAGGGGCCTCACTGACTTTTCCTTGCTTGTGGGTATTGTCGTGGCTATGTCCCAGGGTGGGACAAGCAGCCAGGCTGCCAGCATCCCACCTCTCACCCCCTAAGCCCAGGGGAACTCAGACTGGTTTTCTCCAAAGAGATCCAAACACGAAGCAAACATTCATTAGTCTCCTAAATAAGGGGCCACACCCTATATCATTAACTCATACCTCTCGGGAGGAGAAATCTTAAATAAGAATAATAACATAATAGATCTTTACAGGTGGGCCAAATTAAAAATAAAAAGCACAGCCTTTATGAGAACGAAATTCATTTTCACAGGCAAGGGTTTAAAAACAAAACAAAATCCCAACCAGCCACCCCTAAAGTAGCATTTTATTGCAGCACCAACACAGATGCATGCAAGACCAAGGGTGACTGAACATTGTCACAAATCTTCCCTGACCTGGGACCCATCCCTGAATGTGGGAGTGAAGAAATCATTGCATGATTTTCAGTCTGGGGCAGAGACTTGATTAGAAACCAGCAACTCTGGCGGCAAAAATGCCTCCCCACGTACCTTGGGCTCTCTCTGGGAGTGCGCCTCGGAGCCTGGTGCTGCTTGGTCCTCCAGCACACCCTCTCAGCAGCTGGGTCTGCCCAGCTATATAGGAGCTGCAGGGGGGTGGCATTCCTGCACACGCCAAATATGGCAGGGCCAATCAGGGGTTCCCGAGCCACTCCCTCATCCTGACAAGGGTGGACCTTCTCATCACTATTTGCTAATATGTCTAACAACCAAGTGAAGACCTTGATGAATTTCAGAAAGACTTTTAGAGTTGAAATAAGGTGCTTTTAGAATTGGAGTAAAAAGTGTCAGAAGGAAAACGCGTTCCCATCATTATCTACAACAGAGGGGCGTCAACAAGTGTTGCCGGATATTCACACTGTCCTACATGTAAAGACCAGTCTCAGATGGCAAAGGGGGTCTGGAGGGCAGCCTCTGGGTGGGGGGTGTCAGCTTGGAAAGAGTGTTGGCCTGGATCACTGTTCCCAAGGCAGGACCCACAGGGAGGGAGGGTTCCCCTTCCACTGGGCAGTGGTGAAGCAGGTGGGTGGAAAGATACATGAGAGGACTTCCCAGCACTTTGGGCTGCTTGGGGACACGTGGTAGGCCCTGAAGGACTTAATTGATCCAAAGCCCAATGTGTTCAAGACCTGTGCAAACCCAGGGAACAGAGACAAATCAAGATGTTACCAACCAGGTTTATAGATGTTGGGGCTGAAAGTGGGTTCCTCCAAGTGCCTTGTGCTCTACATGGGGTCCAAGCGCGGTGGGGAGGAGCTGCAGAACCATTCCTGGGCTTTACACGGCATGAGGCTCACAATTATTGGCACACCATTCTAGGTCTAATGCAGAGGGACTGCTTAGGTGTCCCCGTTACAATCATTATGGCAAGGCAAAATCAAAAGTGAATTCTGGAGGTGAGGATGGGGCAAGATTTGCCTTTTAAGAACAATGGGATTTTTACCCTGAACGTGATCCCATCAGAGTTCACCACGGATTCGCTTCGGAGCTCATTTGCAAACCAAATAAACGAATGCTTCTGAACTGGCCGGAAGATGGCGCCAGAGAGCTAACGAGGACTTGCTGCGCTGAGATGGGAACCCTGCAGCTCACACCGCCCTGCAGAGCTGCTAAGCTCTTGTCTAGATGGATTTGGGGCTTCCAGATGGGCCTTTCTTTTGCCTCTGACTTTATTTTTAAAAACTGATCTCATCCTCCCCTTTAAACAAAGACCTTTCTAAATTTCCGTTTTAGAACAACAGATTTTTTTTGTGCTTGTAAGCACACAGACAACACAAACACATCAGTAGTGTAATCTTAGCTTCTTAGTCTACTATCTACAAAGTGCATAAGAGAAGAAGAAAAAAAATCTCCTCTGGGGAGGCAGAGGCGGGTGGATTGCCTGAGCTCACAGGTTTGAGACCAGCCTGAGCCAGAGCGAGACCTGTCTCTAAGAAAAAATATAGCCAGGCGTTTTGGCAGGTGCCTGTAGTCCCAGCTACTTGGGAGGCTGAGGCAAGAGAATTGCTTGAGCCCAACAGTTTGAGGTTGCTGTGAGCTGTGATGCCACAGCATTCTACTGAGGGCAACAAAGTGAGACTCTGTCTTAAAAGAAAAGAAAATAAATAAACTCTCCTAATACTTTGTTACCCACATACAAGTGTCAGAAGAAGTTTATTCAACATATAGATGCTCAGAGCTGGAAAAGATTCAGCCTCCTCTAGTCCGATTCCTTTGTACTGAGGTCACAGGCCCAGTTAGACTCAAGGTCACCCAGCCCGGCCGGTGGTGCAGCCCTTTCGGGGCCCATTGCCCCATTCTGGACTCTGTGTACTATCTCTCTGGCCTGTTCCCACCAGACACAGTCCTCTCCAGCCCCCTCATTCCTCTTCTTCCTATTCCGTTTCTGAGTAGGATTTTGCCCAGAGGGTGGTGGGAGGTTGGTTTAGAACTGATGAGGCTGCAGATTCCTTTTGTCAGTGAACAAAAGGCTGTTCTCAAAGGAGTAGAGGCATGTGGAAGACTGTGAGTGTGCTGGGGAAGGGAGGGTTCTGGAAACTGCAAGGAGGCCAGAAATCCGTTACTCAGATGCAGAGAATACAGGACTGCCCCAATCCTGCTTTGCACCTGGCTTCCCCGGTGTGATGCATGAACAATAGAAAATTACACAGATTTCTAAAAAAGCAACAGGGAAAGGAAGAATTCTAGAATGCATGAATAGGTCATTGTTTTTTCAATTTCTAGTTTTGATTAGATCTTGGACCCATTTAGGAGGATTCAGAAATAAGTACAGTAAGTCTTTGGGTTACAAACGAGATAGGTTCTGTAGGTTTGTTCTTAAGCTGAATTTGTATGTAAGTTGGAAGAGGTACATTTTCTTATTACCTATGATAGCCTTTGTTCATTAGTATGTGTTGTACATCAGTAGGATGTTTGTAACTCCGGGACTCACTGTAATAGCCTCT